CCAAAAAGTGATATCGGTACATCACTAATAAACATATATGTTTGCTATTTACATAGATGCTGGCATACAACATCCTTTAATTGTTATGTAAACTTTAGTATTTATGTGGTGTAGTATTTGCTAAAAGCGAAGATAATCAGATAGATGTGTGGTGTGACTCTAGCAAGACAAGAAAAGGAGACATAATCTTAGACAGATTAGAAAAAATGTTGTACCGAACAACATTTGTTAGAAAAGATTAAAGTTTTTTAGGTATCAGCATGTAGAGAGGTAGCATTTTCAGTAGAAAATGGTAGTGGTAAAAAAAAAAAAAATTAAAAAGAGAGTACCTTACATAATGCAGTCTTGGGTTCTTTGAGCAAACACTAAAATAGTGTATTTACTAGTACTGAAAAATAATGTTTCTACTCATAAAGCAAATGATATTCTAGCAACCATTGCTGAATAGGGTCATGATGTGTAGGTTTCAAGTCAGACGGGTGTCTGGAAATGAGTAATCTCTGAAGAACAAAAAATGAAAACCAAAATTGTTCAGAAATTTCAAAGCATATATTGTTGTTAGATTGATAGTAAAAGATTGCAAGGGGAAGAGTATCAAGTAGATCTGCTGAAAAATATGATAACCAAAATCAAACTTGGAATCCTTACATGGGGATTGGGTCTGCTGTGGCCATTTACAAGGAACTACCTCAGGTAACTAATGAGCATATCATAAATTTTCTTATTCAATAGCCAACTAGCAAACTCAACTACTCCTTTATTGACAAATTAACACAAAATTATGTCTCTATTCAGGCTAATTTCGGCATTGTTGCGACAGATTTTCAACACAGGCAAGAACCCTGGATGGATAGATGACTTCAAGTTTTTATATGAACTATGTCAGGTATATCATCATTATAAAATAACTTTTTGTTGTCCTTGAATCAACTGGTAAAAACTTTAAATCAGGCAAGATGGAACTCACATGCAATATATGTTGTTATAGCATTCTTTCTAATAACTGAGTGGCACAGCATCCTCTCTCCAGCAAGCAACTTTGTTGGCTAAGAACTGGCAAAAGCTTGGTTTCATTCGCAACGCAACAATGAAGCTTGAACTACTTAACTCACTCATCAAGATAAAATGCAAGAAAGAAATTAAGTGCTTAAAAAAGTGCTTAAAAAAGGCCAAGTTGCTAAACATGCTGTAAGACTCATAGAGTAACCTCATGCGAAATCAAAAAAAATTGAACTTTTGAATCTGAAGTTCATAGGAAAAATATTTTTTAAAGATTCCTTATATATTTTGTAAAGATAACTAGCTGTTCTGTTAATAAATAAAAGTTACTTAGTTATTACCATTACTTTTTTGAATAATGCAGAAAAAAAAATACTGTTTTTTTTTTTTTTTTTTTTTTTCAGTATTATTCAAAAAAGTAATGGTAGTATTTTGCCCACATTTTTTTCCCCAAAAAAAAAAGGACGGAAGGCTTTAATTATATATATATTATATCTATGTATATATATAAATATATATAAATAAATAAATATATATATATATATATATATATATATATATATATATATATATATATATATATATATATATATATATATATATATGTATATATATATATATATATATATATATATATATATATATATATATATATATATGAAAATGAAAACTTTTTTCAAACTAGAGTGGAAGCTTATAAGGTGTGCAGACCCTTGTTTTAAGGGTGATACACGGCCCCAAAGTATTATTTTTTTCACCTTTTTTTGACATTTTTAACCCATGTGTGCCACCCTTCAACATTATTCAATTAATTTTTTTTTTCTCACAATGACTAATACTAAAAATAAATTTGTGTATATTTTATTTTTCAACACTGAAAAAGTTACAGAAAAAGTAAAAAAATAGACAAAAAAAATATTTCCCTATTTCTACTTTTTCATTATAAAATACAGTATAATTAGTCAAATTATAAATAAATTTTTAAAAAATACTATATTATTTTGGATATCAAAAGTTAAGTGATCTAAAGTAATCTTAATCTAAAGTAAGGTGAACCAGTTCTCTCCTATTAACATACCTTTCTTTCGAGTTGCAGGAGGAAAAGTGAGAAAAACAAAATTAAAGCAATATTACACTTTTTTTAAATTATTAACAAATTGTTGTTTAAAAATACTATTAATTATGTTTGATGCTAAATCTGTTCTCTTTTCCTCTTTCCAACTTCTTTTGTAAAAATTATTAAACGAAAACAAATACTGTCTTTTCTTCTCTTTTCGTCGCTTTTTTGATCAGTTCTTCAACTAGTTTAGTGGCCTTTTATGGTGAGCTATTGACCACATCAAGGAATTAAATAATAATTTCAAACTTAAGATAAAAATAGTTGAAATTCTGAAACTGTGAAGGGATTTTAAGCTATTGCAACTCACTCTTTCCATGTCTAATCTTATCAAAGATAAGCCAAGATTACTAGATCACTAAGAGATGGAGACTGATCTTGTGCAAAATCTAGAGAATGAAGAAGTTCTTTATTGACCATAACAAGTTTAAGTGGATATACTTTAGGCTTTGCGGGAAGTGTATACCTTCTCTGTTTGGGCAATGTTCATCTGCTAAAGCAAGCATAACTAAGGATCAAGATAAAAACTGTGCCCGCCATACGATTTTATTGCTAAAGTAGCTCTATGAAGATTTATATCCATGAGCCTCTTCATTTGCCACAGTGTTTTTATGTCCTATGAAATATTTTAACAAAATTAGATTAATTCATTAATCAAACAACCAACTAATCTTTTTTAATATTTTTTCTAATTTTGTCTATTTTTAACCTGATATGAAGCAGCAGTTGCAGACACTGCTTTAAGAACCATTGAATGTAAAAGATGTTTACAAACAACAAAAAAAAGAAGTTTGAAATGATTTCCAACAGTAAATATAATTTAAGATAACACAATGCTTTTGCCAAGATTCTTGCATGATACAATGAACCAGGAATACAAAATTTGAACCTCTCTTTTTGAGAAACTGCCTTTATGTCTTTTTAAAACTGCAATATGTCTTTTTAAAACAAGATGTCTATAGGCATAGAAAAGTAATGGCTGCCCAAGCTTATGTACAATTCTTGTTATTAATCTGTGATGCTTTCCAGTGTTGGGAGCAGTAGTACCAAAACATATACACTTTATATGATAACTGAGGTCATTAGATTCTGTTAGATTGTAAACTGGTTTGAACTGTATTTCTACAGCACATGACTCAATATGAGGAACGCCTAGTAGCTTTTTTCAATCACTTTTACTAGTACAGCTAATATTTCTCTTGTGGCTAAAATGTGATGACGATTCAGATAAAAAAAAATCAATGTGCTGGTTAACAGAAAGTCCTTCTACTACAGCAGTTATCAGAGCACCTTTTAGAATATCTTTAGGCAGTATTATACCTTGTTCTTCTTTGTGGGTAAATAACCAGTGAAATCACTTTCTGAGATTTAAGATATGCATCTTCTTTTTCTGAGAATTCCCTTTTAGATTTTTTTCTGCAGATCTCTCAGCACCCTTTTTAAAGCTAATATTAGAACAGCCTAAACAAACATGTCTTATTTCCTTATACATTTTCAAAAACATTATGTCCAGACATTTAGTTTCTTTTGTTTATTTTCTATCCATTGTTATTTCGTCAATCATGATTTTTATGATCTCTTTATTCTTGATTACTCATGGTGTCAATCTGTTTTTAAGGGATTGCAGCTTTTTATATTAAATTTTTTTTTTTTTATATCTCTTTAAATTATATTTTTATATAAATATTTTTAAAATTATTTTAATATTTTTTTCCATTATATTTATATATTTTTTTATATTTATATATTAGATATAGTTTCAACTTCTTTCCTAAAATTAATATTAATTAGACCAATAAACGCATTGTATGCTACCAGTTCTGTGTCCTCAAAGTTCCCAGGGAGCCTTCAGTTTAATATAATGCAGAAGTTCTCTTCCTCTTTTGGACAATTTGGTACAAATGTAGAAAGTCTTTGTTTGAACAACAAACTACGTTTTTAAGAGAAACAGATGGTTTGGTGGGTAAAGATAATACTATTTCTTCAACAGTTAAAAACTGAATACATAATAGTGTCTTCCAAGTTTTTAATAACTAAGAATATTTTTTTATTTTACATTCTTTTTCATTTAAATGAACTATAATAATGTAAATTTACATTTTTTTTTCAAATTTTAAAAACAAACTTAATTGAGTATCATGCAAAAACCATTTTACTAACGTTTTAGCTTTGTTCTATCTTATAAAAATTTAGCTTTGTTCTATCTTATAAAAATGAAGATGTTAAAAATTGAGCATGGTTAATACATTAATACAATAATATCACACTGCTGTGATGGAAACAGTTTTGTGTACAGAAATAAGGAAAAACTTCATTTAAATGAAAAAAAAAATCAGTCATGAGCCTTTTTTAATGACTTTTTTCATCAAATTTAAAAAGATATATATAAAAACCATGTCTAATTTTTATTTATATCAATCATTGTAACAATAAACATTAAAAAAATATTTAATAATGTTGAAAGGTGGCACACATTTTTTTAAAATTAATTTTAAAAAAATGTGTGCCACCTTTGTATACAGTATACTTTGTATACTTTGAACCCATGTATACAGTAGTGGTGTAGTGGTAGAGCGCTCGCTTATGAAGCGAGCGCTCTACCACTACACCACTACTGTATACATGGGTTCAAAAATGTCAAAAAAGGTTAAAATAAAAAAAGTACTTTGGTACCATGTGCCACCCCTAAACTTTTTGTTAATTAAAAAAAAAAAAAATCTTACATATAAAAAAGGTCTGCGCACCTTACAAGCTCCAACTCTAGTTTAAAATATTTTTTACCTTAATCTGAACCACCCTAACATATGTATATATATATATATATATATATATATATATATATATATATATTTTTTAAAATAAAACTAAAAACAAAAATATTTACATTAGCATTTCTTGATCTTCCAGAACTTTAATTACAGATCTTAGTTCTTTTTTTAATAATTCACACTGCTTCAATTTCTTTTCCAACAACTGAATATTTTTTTTTTGAAAAAAAATTCTTCGTTCTTCCTCAAACAACTTGATTTTCTGACTATCCTCATGATGATCATTCTACAAAATATTCAAAAGTTACTATTTTTACTCCTTTTCTTTTCTCTTTTTTGCTCATTTAAAACTTATTAAATTTCTATAAAGTCTTCTACCTTTTTTATTTTAGCAATCTCTAATGAATCAACAAAACTATGATTTACTGAAATGGTACTGGGGACACTACTACGAATATTTATATCACTTTTAGCTGATTGAATCAAAGAATCATCAGTAAAATCATTAGTTTGATTCATAGTATTTTCTTATTTATTTGTCTTTATATATCTTTTTAAGGTTACTAACTTCAAATCAGAAAAATAAAGCTAAAGTTGTTTAAAATACAATTTGAGCATTAAAATTAATAAGTTTCTTTCAACTTTCAGTTTTGAAATGTTTACAAAATGATGCATTTTTAAAATGCTGCACAAGAGAAACAAGAAAAACTTTATTTTAAATAAAAGATTATATTGATTGTCTTTATAAAATATTTATATAATTTTAAAATAATAAATATGAAAGGTTAAACATTACTGATAAAAAAATATTATACCTTTAAATTTTGTAATGAAAAGATTTTTTTTTTTTAATGATATTTATAGGAATTTTTGACATCAGTTATTGTGAATAATATATCTATAAAACTGTCAGACTGAATAAGTTTATAAAGAAGCTATGAAATTTTAAAGGTTTTTAGTTAACTAAGGTTGTCTAATAGTCAAATAACAGCAAATATATACAAGTTAATGACTAATTCCATGGAAAAAAAGCAATTAACATACAAATTTGACATTAGTAAATAAATTTAATAATGATTGGGGTGGTGGAATTGTTGACAAATTTACACATAAGGTTTTAAAAATTTTCACTTGCAAAAATGATTATAATTTTTAAATAAACTTCAACTTATTATTATTTTCATAGTTTTCTTGTTTTCCTTTTGCCTGCACCTATTTGGTATTTTATTGTTTGTTTGTTTGTTTGTTTCAGGATAATTACTTCAGAATATTAAATAATTAAATAAATTAATAAAACTAACAAATAAAACAGTAAATAAATTTAATTTTAAAAATATCAAATATAAAGTTATGATGCAATTTAGTGATTTCCTTAAACAAATAATATCAAATTTAATGATTTATTGAATAACCAATGCCATCCAGTGTTCCAGAATAAATCAATAAAAAATAATATTAAAGTACAATAGGTAAAATTATTTAGTTATCATCTTAAAAAACATAACTGTTTTACACCTTCTTGATTTGTTTCAGAACTAATAGTGATAATACATTTATGAAGGTCTATATAAAAAATAACAAATTTCGGTACATAATTTAAGAATATTAAACTTCCTCACCTTAGAGTTAATACAGAAATACTGTTTTTCAAAAAAAAAAAAAACACTGTCTTAATATTAAAAAACAAACTATTGTTAACATGTTAACAAAATTTTTTATAAATACTATAAGTATTAGTATTATTTATTATAAATTTTATTTTTATAATTATAATTACTATATTTAATATTATTATCATTACTAAGATATTTGTTTTTTGCTGCAACAACAACAACAACAACAACAACAATAACAACAACAACAACAACAAAAACAACAACAGCAATAATAATAATAAAAAAATAATAATAAAAATAACAAAAATAATAACAATAACAATAACAATAACGATAACAATAACAATAATAATTTATTTATGGTAATACTATCTACAATGTAAACTTTAAAAATCAAGAAAAAAAATCTTACCTCGAATTAAACTTTGAAACAAACAAAAACGCTTTATAAATAAACCAGTAGCCCCAAAACTCTTAGGTATTTGAGTGAAGTAACATCAAGGTATGTTCTACTTAAAACTTAAGTATATTTATAGTTTAGGTATATATATATATATATATATATATATATATATATATATATATATATATATATATATATATATATATATATATATATATATATATATATATATATATATATATGTATATATATATATATATATATATTAAGTTAATTTGTTAGTAGTGCTTATTATTATTATTATATATTTTTATTTAAACTCGATTACAGTTGAACAACTTTGCCTTTAAAATTACGATTACTTTTACAATTTATAAAATAAATTCAGAAAAAGTTTTTTTTTTTTTTTTTTTGTTCTTTTGTTTCCGGTTCCTCTTCTACTGCTTGAGTAGCATATGCCAATGGCATAGCAAGATGGATATATTAGAAGCCAACTTTGTTGAATATGTTGGCCCCTATAATATGAAAGCCTTTAATAATGGTTAATATGTCTTAATAATGCTTAATAATGGTTAATATGTCTTAATATGTCTATACTGATAAATTAGTGCAAGCATTTAAAGTTTATACTTAACAAATTGGTATACTTATTTTTTGTTTATTTTAACGGAAAATCTAAGAAAAAACAGACGTAACTGTAGTAACTCGCTGATTTCTATAATAACTGGATACATCTAGCGCATCTCTAATATCAAAATTGACGCCAAAATCGCCATATTGGAAAGCCCCAGAACGCTGAACGGAACTTGAAAATACAGAGATTGCGCTTGAAGATTTGTTTTTGCTTTACTTACTACTTCTTTTACATTGACTAGATTAAAGTTGCATATTTCAATCATATTGTTATATTTAAGATGTTTGAAAGTTTGAAAATTGAAAAAGTAAAAAAAATAAGCACGAACAAAATTAGAGTTAAATGGAAATAAAGAATATAGGAGAACAGACTGTTTAATAATTTGTATTTGTTTTGTATAAACTTGTTACCTTTATTAATCTTCTTATGTTCAATATGAAACTACTTTGCTGAAAGTCAAAATTAATACTTACTCTGGTTACTTTAGAATGTTTATTGTTACAACTTGATGCAATCTTACTTTATAATAGCAGTGAGAAAGTAACTTTATAAGTGTAAAACATAACAAAAAAATATTGTATCAAAGATTTTTTAAATGGTTTTAAATTTTCATAGTTTTTAAAAAACTCAGGATATGTTGGTTTCTTCCGCGACTGCAAAAGTAATATCATCGACTTTATTACAGTAGATTAAAATTGATAATCATACACTACCAAGTTTTAGTTCTGTTAACAAGTTTTAGTTCTGCTGCTTCACAAACTTTTATCCCACTTATAAAAAGTATGAAAAGCTTTAACTTATATAACTACTAAGTTTATATGCTGTTACTAAGTTGTTTTTCTGCTATTTTGGTGACATACGTTACAAGATATTTAAGCGTTTATTGTTTTTCATCAATCAAAGTATGAAAGATCTAAAGACACATATGTAGTTTTATTAAAGTAATTATTATTTCAACTTACATTTATCAGTTGTATCCTGATAATTAATGGTTGAATAATAATAAATCTTGTAAAATTTTGTACTCAAAAACAAAAGAGAAAATAAAAGAAATACAGGTATAATTATTAATGTCTAATTTTTTAAATTATGTTAGGTTATTCTAGAGCGTTTTACAATTACAGAGTGCTCAATGTTCTTAAGAACAGCAATAATAAAATAGTTAAAACACTTATCTAATTTTTGTCTTCAACATCAAAAACTCATCTAACCAGGAAAAAAGATTTCTTCCTGGTTAGATGAGTTTTTTTACTAATATATATATATATATATATATATATATATATATATATATATATATATATATATATATATATATATATATATATATATATATATATATATATATATATATATATATATATATACTATTATTATTATTATTATTATTATAAATATATTTCAGACAACAGGTAGATACAATTTAGGTGCCAGGTCCATAGTTTTTACAAAACAAATATTTTTTTTAAACTTTGATTAAGAGAACACATGGAATTATTTACTAAGAAACAAGCCATCAACTTTTTACAAAAAGCATGTCTGTAGTTTAAGATAATTGTATGAAGAGATGGTAATCTGTGCTCTAAAAGCATGAGATCATACTTGTTGTAGCCAAAAAAGATTTTAACACTTTTGTTGTAGCAATAATGAAGGCGTGCCATTGTTTTATCATTAATTTTGCTGCAGAGGAGTACCATATAAACAAATGTAATATGATTTAAACAATTTAACCTTTACTCTGGTAGAGCATAAATGAAAGTGTCTAGTTAAAACATTTGTACGTGTGTAAAGACCCTTCATCTCCTTGGTTATATCAAAATCATCAGTTAGGTCATTTTAAATTATATGGCCAAGTTATTTAAAAGATTCAACAAAAACAATTTTACAGCCTGATATGCATAATTCTGGGAAGGAGTTTGATATAATTTTTGAGTTTGGTTAAACACCATACATACAGTTTTCTTTGTGTTAAAGGATATGTTAATTAAGGAAGATTCCTTATTTGTAAAGCTAATTAGTTTTTGAAGAGAAGACCAAGATAGAGCAATTAAAACCATATCATCAGCGTAAGCCACCTTACATCCAATAAGTAGTTTTGAGATTAATAAAATCATATTCTGTATGTAAAAGTTTAATAGAAGTGGGGACAACTCCAAAACTATTTGATTTTGTTTTTTGCCATCGAACAAACATTTTTTGATTACTATACCAAAATGTAAGCAAAATAACAAGTTTTTTGGGTAACCCATTATCTAGTAATTTCTGAAACAACAGCCAGTAAATGTTTTATTAAAATGTTTTATTAAAGTATATATATATATATATATATATATATATATATATATATATATATATATATATATATATATATATATATATATATATATATATATATATATATATATATATATATATATATATATATATATATATATAGATATATATATATATATATATATATATATATATATATATATATATATATATATATATATATATATATATATATACAATTACTATTTACTGTCTAAGGAACCTTCGGGTTGAGTTACACTAACATAGCCCAACTAATGATTTATACAACAATGAATAAGCTGTTTACTTTGCAAATATGTTACAAGCCTCAGGAATCAAAAGGTGCATACTGATATACATTTGTATCTATCTTTTTGTATTATAAATATATATATATATATATATATATATATATATATATATATATATATATATATATATATATATATATATATATATATATATATATATATATATATATATATATAATATATATATGAGGCTTGTAACATATTTGCAAAGTAAACAGCTTACACATTGTTGTATGAATCATTAGTTGGGCTATGTGAGTGTAACACAACCCAAAGGTTCCTTAGGCAGTAAATAGTATATATATATA